CCGGAGTAATCAGTTTCTAGTTGCCTAGTAACAATTTTCGGCTGTGGTAAGGTGATTTTTTAACACAACTTCACAGTACCAAGTTTGTACATGATCTAACTCGTTAAAACATACTATGGCATTTTTAGCCACATTTGTATACAATAATGACATACATTTCCATGTTTATTGTTCTGTCTTTCTGGCTTTACATAGATGCCATAATATGTTAGCCCCGCACGCTACAGAGCGGGAGGTACAGTACCAGTAACATCAGTAGATGCGTGTATAGTAGTCGTAGACTAATGGTATGACGTCGACAACGGTGAGTTAACGGAAGCTATACTTATAGTTACTGTGTGTGTACGTCTGCGCATGCTAACAGTGTCTCCTTACAACATGTCTGATATCCGTATCCTTTTTTAATACATCCGTATCCATTTTTATAATAGATATTCCAAATAATTCAAAACCTAGTGCAACCTTAAAGCTATAGGACAAACAATGACTAACTAATTCAGTATTCACGTGCATGCTAATATGTACATTTATTACGTTATGTAATGTATATAAGTTCGATATTATTCCATCTATGAAGCAAGTTATCAGCTTGCAAGTCAATATAAATCAGCGATTTTGGTCGGGTGCTAGAAATTGAAAAATTGTGAAAGTATGTAGTTCGATGTATGCATATGTCACTGTAAACTGGTATGCCGCATTGGACTTGGTAACTTACTTCAGTATCTGCTTGACTTCGTGTCATTTGTTCCTAAGAAAATGTTTTCTTTTATTTCAAACTATAACATTCTTTAAAATTTCTAAAAAAAAAATGCTAAGCTTACTGCATCTATTGTACAACTTAAAGTAGACGATGACTTCTTACACTTACTATAATAATACTAACATAATATAGCGTGTTATCGTCTTTATACAGTTATTGAAAAGATGGTGAAAGTCTAGCGAATTCAATACAATATAAAATACTTGCCTGGTGGTCCATCATATCTATCAGCACAAACAAATCTCAGCAAAAAACTCAGTCACATATTGAAATCCGAAACACCAAACAATAAAAACAAAAACACAAAAATAGTAAATCTGCGCTACAATAAGGCAACCGGATAAAATGTAACGTAATGCAGTTTTTAATCAACTACGTCATTTTAAGATGGAATTCAATACAGTTAATGCTGTCCCTATGGTAGTGAGTGATATATCCTGTTACTTTACAGTCACGAGGAGTACATGAGACCTCCAAAGATATAACATAAAGTAACAAATGAGTTTAGCAGGAAAGGAAAATGCAACAGCCAAAAAGGTATCTAAAACCCAGTTCGGTCCAATTCCTCTCCAAACACGTTCAGCAAAGCAAATGCATAGGGTATATCTAATGGGTGTACTATTTAACAGAATAAAAAAGGAAAAAGGAAACGGCCAGACAGTGAATCATACCAGGGACATTCGAACTCATTACGGAGGCTTAAACAAATAGAAAGAAAGGCAACTGCCTCTTGGGCATAGGAACTATCTTTTAGATAATATACTTCCGTGCTTTAACCAGCTGAGATATCTGTCACCTTGACTGGTTTCAGTCTGTGTGAAGTATACCTGTCTGTGGACTTGAGCAGGTCTAAAATGTGCTGATCAAACCCTGTATACTAGTAATCAATGTATAGAATGTATAAGTAATGATCAGAGATAAGTCTGATGGCCACCGGCAATCACATCAGTTCCGCTACAAATGTGCGCATGCGTATATATATTAAATGGCGTATACAATGCTTAGCTGAAACAAGGTCGAACTTTTACTTCTCTTTAAAGTTTAGACAAATAAGACATTGACCTTTCTTTGTCTCTTAATAGAAATTTCCTATATAAACTCTATGTGAGGATTTTGAACTTTAAACCGGCTTTCAATACGAAGAAATCTAAGATCCTGTCGCCGATTGGCTGAATTAAGAGCCCGCTTCGACTGAAGTGGAAAGGCATTGACGTAAGATAAGAAAACGTACCATATCTACCTGTTTTATCAGATTGATACAATAACAATACTATAAGGTCTCAGAGAGTGCTGAGGGGTTCCGTCTCGTGTTCCGTTTTTGTCTATATCAGGAGTTTATGTTGTAGGACCTGGTGACAGTGACAGACCAGCTGGCATGTTATCAATCTACTATTTCATTAAATGATCGTATCAAGCTGTGGGTGGTCTGTTCATGTTTTGCCGTATGTCAAATTGTATTAAGATCACTGATCTGTAATAGCCAAAAGCATGCAATCCCCAACAGTAGCACAATATATCACAGAAGGTTCATTGTGGATAGCCACAATGCTATCTCGCCGATAATCTCACAATCCTGATGATATCCTTGTAGAAAATAACCACATTTTCAACTAAAACGTTTTATAACCTGAAATTAAATCTATTCAAAACTGATTACCTCAATGAAACTGACCAAAGTGGTTACACTTGACCGGTCAATCAGGATATAGTCAAACAACAGGTGAAAAGGAAGTGGTACAGAAGTATGGGTCTGTTAGAGCCAATAAGGAAAGCCACCACGAACGGCTTGTCGGTTCCGGCCCATTAACACAAAAAAAGTCAAGGTTTTGAAATTTAGCATTTAATGTATTTATCTAAGTGGTAATCATAGGATTATGTTTTAGCGACTTTCGCGCTGATCCGTAACTCTATATTATGATGATCACTTTATCCCTGAATGCTACTGAAAGTGGTATACTGTCGTGTTATAGTTGTCTAGGACTCTGGTCCTTGTCATCTTTTAAATAATTTGGTAAAATGTTGGTTAAAATCCACCAGTCAGTTTCAGAGAAGATGGTTTTTATAACTTGTTGCACTCTGTGACCTTTTAAGGCCCCATCCCTATACATAACATACCTTATATCATAACTTTACATCTGGTATCACACATATACACCCCACCGGTAGTTGAACCAAACCGACAAACTCACCAGAGTGTTAACGCTCTTAATGCTCCAGACGACACCCTGATCTACACTGATTCGATAAAATCATTTATTTGAATTGAGTCAACATGCTTATCAGTAACAGACACATTTATACTAGCTGAACTATATAATATTGTCATACACCTTACTTACACCTATCTCCCCTGTACATCATACGTACAACACACCTGTAGTATTGTGGTATTACTTCAGCGTATCAAAGGTTTCCCGGGAGTCACAAAGGTAGGTCTATACAACGACGTGTAGAAAGGTGATACAAAACACACATTACACTCGTCGGAATTATTATATTGTTAAATCAATCTTATTCACTTTTTAAATCATTTTCAATGTAAGAGGGTAACCATACCATAATGTGAACGCGTTTTACTCTGAAAAGAAATTGGAATTTTACACAGGATGTAATTTCCCTGTAATATAAGTGCATATTTTATAAAGAAAGAAAATTCAACATTCAACCTTGCTTTGTGAATTTCTTGGTCAATTACTTCAGTAAATATATTCAAACGGGCATGAAATAGAATATATAATGTTAAAATGAAATTGAAATTGATATCGTTATGTTTTTTACTTATTTGAACAGGTGTTGTTTATAGGCATACACGTCAAGTACTCTTTAGTCTTTTTGACCAATGACACTTGTCCAGCCTCAGGACAATGTCCGCCGATTGTCTATCACTCATCCAAAATAGAATATAACGGAGACTGTGTTACACAAAGGACTCAGCCACCGGCAAGTAGCACTCCACAAAACGTTATTCATTCCACTTCCAGTATAAGTGGGTGAGTAAGCTAGTGTGGTGTGGACGATGTCCTGTCAGGGTGTAAACGTCCTTAAGGACAAAAACGTACGTCCCATTCATGTGACGAACCCACATATAGGGGCAATGCTCGATTTTGTTACCAGTAACTCCTAAATTCATTCGATATATATACAAAAACCCTGCTACATACCAGCGAGCGCTCCCCCACTGGAATCCCCCCNTAGTTTAGTTAATTCAAAAAACATTTACTCAACTGATGTCGCAAAATCTGATTACGTGGTTAAGTAAACAACCTAGGACATGCGTTAAATTTAAACTATGAACTATTTTGTGTAAATCTGGGTACACACATGTAGTAAGTCTTAAGGGATTATAAACAATGTCAATTCGTCTGTCCGACCACTTACAGTGTGGGATCTAGAGGGTCAGGACACCACTGAACCTCCCCGCCCCATCCCCCAGCCAGGAATTGTTTTTCTTTTAAACGATGTATTTCTTCCATCTTCATCCCCACCCCCAGAAAATGTGGACCCCACCTCCCACCTAACCAACATTTGTCTATGGATCCAACTTATAAGACCTACATAGCAAACATATACAGACAATGATATCATAGAGTAATGTCTATGTGACGTTTTCTGTTAACAACCCATTATAATATCAATAACTGTCCTTGTTTTTAAAGCTGTATGAAATAAACGCTAGCAGAGCTAGCTGAACAGTCTGCTGAAACAGTTCCAGGTCGTGATTTAGACACGAGTACGTGCTATACTGAGTAAATGTCTTTTTGATGTCTATGGACCAAAACCTGGGTGTTTTTGCTGCTACAGTACTAAATAACACTGTTGGGTTGGCCAAGAAAGTGGAATCTGACAACTTGCAGATGTTTTTCAATTCGAAACATTTAACATGTGCCAGTTGAACTCTGTAATTTCTGACAAGTTTCTCAATTATTTTATCTTACACACATTTCATGGCTAACCATAATCTTGACAGCGTTCAGAAAACATCTTAACGACTTATAAAAACTATCTTGATATATTCGCTCTCCCGCAAGTAAAAATGTAAATATAGTTCATGAATGTGAATACCCTCCTGTAGAGTTATCCCCTGAAACGTCGTTATCATTCCATACAATGCAAGCAGATAAGAGCCTATCAAAATTCTTTTATTAAATTTCCTCCGTCTAAGTATCGGAGGGTTTATCAGTGCAAGCTTTAAGGAGTCGTTCGCCGATATGTATATTTGAGGAGGAATACGGGTACTTACAATACAGTGGTATCAGGGGGTAGCGGCGATGGTATAGTGTCCAGCTGAAGAAACATACATCGCACTGTCGTCCGAAAACACACACATTTCGTGGGACATTCATACTCCTGCATATGAACAAGCACACACAAAGAAAGAAAAAGTAGAATTTTCATTTCACGTCCGACCATATTTTTAAATTTCACTATCTCCTTGAATTGATTTTTTTCACAGGTCCCGTTTGTTTAATCCTAGGTAAACTCCCAAAGGTACACAATGTTGACATAGGATAAAAATTGCGAATCTCATTTCACACAGACATGGTGCATATTACACACACCGCCGGCTCACGGCTACACACTTACACTAACTAAATATAGTTCACCACCGATCGCTTTCACATCGGACTCTTGTCACATCAAGTGAACGACGCCGACTGGCTACACACATCCGCGGGGGTAGAAAGAAACACACGTCACTTTGTTCACGTGAGGGGTCAGACCTCTCACAGTGATATTCTGATCTCGCGAGCGTAGTTATATCTCCAAGGACTCTATCGATAAATCACAGAGATGGTTTAGTGGGGGGGAGAAAGTTGCATTCCAGTCTTATTATGAATCACCCCCGGCGTAGGAGGGTTTGTCAGACGGAACGATATGAATTCTATATAGAAGTGCACTGTGTAACTATTAGTAGGTCTACTGTACATTAAACTTTTGTTTATCAATTTAAGTTCCTATCATATCAGCGTTGTTCATTGGGATATCATCAGTGCTACATAATATTTCATCTTTATATATATACCCGGACAAAAATTCGGAACGTGCATTACGTCATGCAAGTGTTTTTGGAATGCGGACATGTGTTATCACCCATTCATGGTATACATAGGAGCGAACATATTAGATCGGACATAAAATGTCTTATCTACAGTGTAGACATATAGGAAATACATCTTCAACCAAGCATAATGCTAACTATTTTTAGAAATTACTTCAGATGTGTGTTCATCAGCTGAAAAATACATTGGGCCCTCTACGATACCAGTGTTTAATCCTACGCTTCTTTCGTTTATAAAAAATAAAATAACAATACCAATGTAGCAAGGGCGAGTTGCTCTTATTGGGAGGAGGATGTCGGCTTGAGCAGCTAAGCGGTACATTATGTTTGTACAAAAGGTTATTCCATATTGAGCTTTCATGGCAAAAAACAATTTCTGACGAACCGCGGATTAAATCGGGCGCTAGCTTACACTGGCTGTTGGCAAACTCACGCGCTGGAATGTTTAAAGGCTTTAATAGTCCAGGTTTTATAGACGTGTCTATAGTTCAAGAGGCCTCGTGTCATAAATTATCGACATAAGTGAGATAAACATGACTGTTTAGTATTGTTCACCGTCGTCTAGTCCTACCCAGCACAACAGGTTAGATGGTACTTATCGGCCATTACGGAATACACCTATCTCTGATGTCCCGGGGTGGGGCAGGGTGGGGCGTCAGAGAGCACCGAATAGTTAGCAAAGATGTTTAATCTCAGAAGGTTTTTAACACGTACATGTAACTACAGGTACCGGCATTGATCCTCACCTACCCCGCAACCTTATCCCACACACCTCATAACAATCTATATTGAATTTAGAAGATGTCGGACTTGGGTAAGAATATTATTACATGTAATAATAATAATAATCATTCGGGGTTCTTGTATATACCGCTTTAACACAACCTAGTTCTTAGGTCGTCTCAAAGCTCTAGCACTGCCCAACCACGTACTCATTTACAGCTGAGTAGACTGGAACAAGAGAAGTTAAGTATCTTGCTCAATGATGCACCCGTATACTTTAGTATGTAGTACATATGCACCATTTCCCATTTTTTCACTGATCATAAAGTTCACAGATTATGGATATAAATGTATATAACAAAATTTGGGTCAATTCTTATAATACTTTATTTAACGATTTTCTGATAAATTACCTCGTAACATGTTGGCACAAATTAGTTGTAAAAAAGTATATTGCGCTTTTTAATTAAATGGTTATTAGCTAATTGTCTACAAACTATAGCTTTGTCTGAAACAACTATTTTTTAAGGAGGAGGATGGAGGAGGAGGCAAATCGTTCAACAACATGCTAATATGAGGCAGGCAGCGTTTAGCCTGCATGGGTTTTACGTAACATTCTTATTGTAGACCTCAGTTAGTGGTTGTGTACATCGCCTGATTCGGAAATGTCAAGTTTGATATTTAGAACATCAAACGATTTCAGACTAGAACTACATATGAAATATTTTTTAATTGGGGTGATTTCAATCTGCATGTAGATAGGTCACATTGTGCTGCAGTCTAAATGCTCCCAAGCCTTTTTCTGGATAACATGGTGTTTTCAGCTTTAATACAAAAGCCACTGCACGTGCGCTTAATCTAAGCACCATATGGTGCGTCTACGGTATGTTATACATTGCCTTAAGATAAGAACTCATCATTAAGACTCAGCCAAACTAAATATTGCATCGATTCTCGATGTCCCGTGGTTCCAGGAAACAAAATATTATTCCTGTAGTGGAGGTCTCTGATGGTTGGCAATCAGGAAAAAACTTGTTTGGTTTATGAGGCATTTAATGAGGCACCACTGTAGAATCGGGGAGCTGGGTGGTGAGCTGTCCTAATGTGTCCTCCTTTTGGGGACACAGAATATATCAAAGTTGCAATTGCAACGCCAGGAATCCCTTTCTCTTGTATTTACTTAGGGTAGTGCATTAAAATGGATCTTGGACAATATACACCGTCCGTATGTGATCTTATTAGCTGTAGCTAGAACGTAATAAACAAACAAGTAAACAAGACACTGAAATACCGCAACGAGTAGGGACGTTTATACACCGTCCAATATTACTGACCAATATACTGAAATACCGCAACGAGAAGGGACGTTTATACACCGTCTAACATTACTGACCAATATACTGAAATACCGCAACGAGTAGGGACGTTTATACACCGTCCAATATAACTGACCAATACACTGAAATACCGCAACGAGTAGGGACGTCTATACACCGTCTAACATTACTGACCAATATACTGAAATACCGCAACGAGTAGGGACGTTTATACACCGTCCAATATTACTGACCAATATAATGAAATACCGCAACGAGTAGGGACGTCTATACAGCGTCTAACATTACTGACCAATACACTGAAATACCGCAACGAGTAGGGACGTGTATACACCGTCCAACATTACTGACCAATACACTGAAGTAGCGCAACGAGTAGGGACGTGTAAACACCGTCCAAGATTACTGACCAATACACTGAAATACCGTAACGAGTAGGGACGTTTATACACTGTCCAACATTACTGACCAATACACTGAAATACCGCAACGAGTAGGGACGGGACGTTTATACACCGTCCAATATTACTGACAAAAACACTGAAATACTGCAACGAGTAGGGACGTCTATACACCGTCGAATATTACTAACCAATATACTGAAATACCGTAACGAGTAGGGACGTTTATACACCGTCCAATATTACTGACCAATACACTGAAATACCGCAACGAGTAGGGACGTTTATACACTGTCCAACATTACTGACCAATACACTGAAATACCGCAACGAGGTTGGACGTTTATACACCGTCCAATATTACTGACCAAAACACTGAAATACTGCAACGAGTAGGGACGTCTATACACCGTCCAATATTACTGACCAAAACACTTAAATCACGTGCTCCATACCCGACACTTAGCTCTGTTGTTGCTGATGAAGCTCTAGGACCTCAGCTGTTACAGGCACGTAAACCCCAAGGATTCAAACAAACAATTCTACTCTTGTTCCAGGCATTTACGTGTGGTAATGGTAGGGATTTACTCTATCATCAAACATTATTGACCAAAACACATAAAGCACATGCTTCATATTAAACAATTAACTCAAGTTTTGCTAATGAATCTCTTTGGGATAGTTGACACCGCAGCGATAGAACCCCGAACAACACTAATTTTACTTTCATTCAAAGCATAGGCATACCGCAATGGGTCGGAACGCTCGACACCATCCAACATTACTGACCGAAACGCTAACAACACTGTCCCCGTACTAACAATTAACACTGTCCCCGTACTAACAATTTACACAGTCCCCGTGCTAACAATTTACACTGTCCCCGTACTAACAATTTACACTGTCCCCGTCCTAACAATTTTCACTGTCCCCGTACTAACAATTTACACAGTCCCCGTCCTAACAATTTACACTGTCCCCGTACTAACAATTAACACTGTCCCCGTGCTAACAATTTACACTGTCCCCGTACTAACAATTTACACTGTCCCCGTACTAACAATTAACACTGTCCCGTACTAACAATTTACACTGTCCCCGTACTAACAATTTACACAGTCCCCGTGCTAACAATTAACACTGTCCCCGTACTAACAATTTACACTGTCCCCGTACTAACAATTAACACTGTCCCCGTACTAACAATTTACACTGTCCCCGTACTAACAATTAACACTGTCCCCGTACTAACAATTTACACTGTTCCCGTACTAACAATTAACACTGTCCCGTACTAACAATTTACACTGTTCCCGTACTAACAATTAACACTGTCCCGTACTAACAATTTACACTGTCCCCGTACTAACAATTTACACTGTCCCCGTACTAACAATTAACACTGTCCCCGTACTAACAATTTACACTGTCCCCGTACTAACAATTAACACTGTCCCCGTACTAACAATTTACACTGTTCCCGTACTAACAATTAACACTGTCCCGTACTAACAATTTACACTGTTCCCGTACTAACAATTAACACTGTCCCGTACTAACAATTTACACTGTCCCCGTACTAACAATTTACACTGTCCCCGTACTAACAATTTACACTGTTCCCGTACAAACAAGTAACACTGTCCCGTACTAACAATTTACACTGTTCCCGTACTAACAATTTACACTGTCCCGTACTAACAATTTACACTGTCCCCGTACAAACAATTAACACTGTCCCCGTACTAACAATTAACACTGACCCCTTACTAACAATTAACACTGTCCCCGTTCTAACAATTTACACTGTCCCCGTACAAACAATTAACACTGTCCCCGTACTAACAATTTACACTGTCCCCGTACTAACAATTTACACTGTCCCCGTACTAACAATTAGCTCTGTTGCTAATGGTGATGTTACCGAATCAACAAAAAAGCCGATACAAAGATGCAAGTTAATTTTCAGCTGAAAGAAATTTTAAAGGTGAACACGAGATTTCACATATCGGTTGCCAGTATTTGTTCTGCAGTACACCCAGTGAAAGATGAAGCATCGGCGGTAGGCAAGGGAAGCTAGAATGATATCCTATCGCCAAATCAATCTACACGGCAGTGAGGATGGGAGAGGAAATGACTTTGTGTTGGAATGAGTTATTCAGGTGAACCTGTTGGGATAGTAGGGGCACGTCTCAGCACCAGGAGCGCCAATGGTGATACGTTCTAGCTATCCAAAGTCTTCCACTGTCTGCAAACAGTGCTACAGAACTAGTCCTGCTTAATGCACATATAATTCTCTAGTAACTCAGTCCAGACAACAAAACAGAACTGGAATGCGTGTAACGTCTCTTAGTATGCAAAAGTGAATACTACGGCTAGCGTGTGTCATACTCCAAAGTGACGGGAACTCACGTACCGGTATGCGAAATAACCACATTTTACT